AGAAAAATGAAAACCATTACCTAAAGCCTCAATCAAAACAGCTGTGTGTGTGATCTCTCATTTATATACAGTTAAAGCATCTTGGGGACAAAAAAAGAGTTGTGAAAGTAAATAAAACAGTATCAAAAAGTAAGAAATAACTTGGTTATTTTAAGTGATGGTTGTTTTAAGGAAATACTGTAAGCCAAGATTTGCAACAGTCTGCAGGCCAAAATCTGATTTGCATTACTTCCACATTAATCTCCAGTAACTGCTGACTTCAGTGGAATTAACTCACGTCTGTAATTGGATCTGTGTTGGGGAAAGTGCTTGAGGTTTTGCTGCAGTTCTTTGTGCCCTCTCATGCCCTTTAATGTAGTCTTAATATGCTGAGTGCTCTTTTCTTAACCAATAAGCACATGCTCTTCTTTGTCAACAGGCTCACTGTTGGAATCTCTTGCAATTTATTGCAGTCACAGAGGAACAGTCTCCTTTCCTTTTCTCCCTAGGACTAATTTTATCTCCTTGTGCATGTCAGAGGCACTTACAATGAAACCTCACAAGGTGGCGCCACGCCACCATAACGAGTCATAACTTCATTTAACAATTTAAATGTCCCGGAAATACAGGATACTCTATGGAATCTATGATGCCACAAACAAAAATATGAAACTGTGATTAATTCCTGATTTTAAAGCTGTACATAATTACAGAGAAAGTTTTGTGTTTCTCAACAGCATGTCAGTAAAAATATGTTTGAATAAATTCCCTGAAAATTGAAATGTACATTAAAAATTAAAGAGGGATTTTCTTGCTGAAACTGTAAACAACTCATATTCTAGAAACTTGAATTGGTTAAGATTATATTCTAAAATAACAGAATATAAAGTAGAGTAGAGTTTTTGTTGTGGATGGGAAATATGCTTGTGAGCTCAGAATCCCCAGTAAATCAATTTGGGCTGAAATAACAGCAAGATTAAGAAGAGTTTATAATGTTGTTGCCCAATACACCTTGTCTGGGACAGACAATGGAGTGAAATTTGATGAGGAAGACATTAAAGATAATAAAATTATCATTGTTCATGTCCTTAGGAAGATCTATGTCTGAGACAGAAGTACAGAACCCATGAACAGATGTTCTCCTCTTTTGTCTGTATAATTTTGCAGTTTTGGGTGTCTTGTAGAGATGTTAGTGACACTGAGTGACTATCACATTCTCTTTGGTGGGGAGAAAGAGGAGGCTGTTCTTGGTAGAATTCAAAGAGCATCAGCATTTAAGACAACAGTGCCTTTATTTAACTCTAAGTTCTGCCACCCTTGTCTGTAAGACGTTTTCCAGTCTGAACTCCAGTGAAATTCCCCACTGTCTTTTCCTTTTGACTGCCTGATGTTGGCAAGAGCAGTGAGGGGCCCGGGTGTGCCAGCCCCGGGTGCTCTGCAGTTGCAGTGCAGGTGAGTCCTTCCCTCTGCTCTTTCCCAGTCAGGGCTGCTCAGAGGCAGATATTTTCATGCACAGAGCCCTGCCTGCCCTGTGCCATCCTGCAGCTCCAGGCTCGTGGCTGTTGGGTGCGTGCTCACCAGCCCTGCAGCACAAGGCACCATCTGTACCCTGCTCTCCAGTTCCTGCTAGGCAGCTTGGGGCCACATGTGCCTGCAAATGTAGGCCAGAGTGGTTTAACTCTGCTGAAGAGGGTTGTGGGCACCAGGCCAGCCTCCTCCTTTTCGAACTGTAACTTTTCTTCACTGAAATCAGTGGATGTGGCAGCCTGCCAGGAGCAAGGCAACTCGTTGCTGTGGGCTTAATCACAGCTTGGGCAACTCAACAGGGATCAGGCTTGCCCTGTGCTCTGCACACTGACAGGCTCTGGGAATTGGTAGCTGCTGGTTGAAGGGGTGGTAATTGAAGATTTGGTCTGGTTTCTCATGTAGAACTCTGTTTACTTGGTGGAAATGGTTTAGAGTTTAGTCTGATAAAGTATTCATCTGTCCAGAAGTCAGATCCAGCTTTTTCGTAGGTGTCTAATCCCCTTAGACCTTAGGTTGTGGGTGTTATGTTTATGGGCTGTTTCTCACATCACTCTGAAGGCAGCACTTCACAGATAGTGAATTCATGTGGATCATTAGTAACCTTTTATTAGCAATCTAATATTCAGGGTTACTTCAATGGCACTTAAAAAGAAATTGATATTCACCAGATTTCCCCCCATCCCAGATGAAAGGAAATGATCTCTTACTCAGACATCTGCTTATGGGATCAGAGGATCACAGAAGATGCTGATTTGCCCCGTCAGGATCATTGAGTCCAGCTCCTGGCCCTGCACAGGACACCCCAAATGTCCCTCCAGGTGCATGAGAGTGTGCTCCAAACTCTTCAGCTTTGTCTGGTTTGGTGCTGTGGCCACAGTCATTGCAGACTAGCAGGCCCCGAGAGGAAAAAGAATATTGATGTTTTAACCAAAATGGTATTTTGGGTTTCCTGAAAATGATGATGATTTTTTTTCTTCATACAGATAAAAGAGTTCTGCACACAAAAATCTGTAGATTCGGAGAGAATTCCCTCTAGAAGAAGCTTGAAACTGAAAGACTGTTACTGTTCTGCCTAAACAAATAGGATAATTGATGTATATATTCACAGAAATAAGTTCAATTCCAGGAAATTCAGTGAGGCCTTTCATATGTTTACAAATTTTCATCTCTTGTATGGCCATTTTAATGACTATTGTTCTTCTAATGTTAGAACCAAACATGATAAAGAAGTATATAAAAATTCCCTATTGTAATTTCACCCATCCTCATAATGACAGTAGCATTAGAATTTGCATTCACTAATCCCTCTTACTACACCTCTTTAAAATTGGGCTTTCTGCAGAATTTACTTGTAAATATTCCTAGTGAAATGACTCAGTCCCACATGACTAATTCTCAGTATTCTTTTCATTTCCAGTTATCTCCTCTCACTGAAAAAGCAGAGGCAATAATTGGTATCCAGAGACATTAATGTGTTTTGAGGTATTTTCATTCCAAAGAACTCACCAAGTGAAACAGTGGGTTATTGATGCCACACGCTCTGCCAGATTGGCTTAGAGGAGTTTTTTTCTCACCGTGATAATTCTGTAGTAGGCAGATATCCTTGAGGGCCAGATCTCCACAGGACTCCTACTCACTTCAGTAGGCAGGCTTCAGATCAGGTCCCTAAATAATATTTTGCTTTATTCAAGCATGGAATGCATAAAAAAAAAAAAAGAAAACCTGCATATAATAAATTATTCTGTTTCTGAATAAATACTAATATGCAGACAGAGATGGAAAACAGATTTACTGCAGGTATTTTTACTGCCTCATTCTCTATGAGACAGTATGTAAAATGGAAGAAAACATTAAAACTTTGTATGACAGATAAGTGAAGAGGAATTGTAATTATTTTTAGTATGTCCCTTTGATTTTGAA